GTCGATAGGAGTAGATGAGGATAAGACTGGCACGTAAGCACAACCTAGCTTATATCGTTGCGTTCCTCGACTGGACTTGTGTAAAGGAGCCGGGCGCCCCAGTAGCAGAATCTGCTCTGCTAAAAGCAGAACCCTTTGTGAAGTAGCAGAATCCGTTCTGCGAACGCAGAACAAGAAAGCAGAAACTTGAGCTCCGCAGCTCCGCTCAAGTATATTTATTTCGGAGGTTTTAGCAGTGCCACCTCCAGTTGTTCTAGTTAGTTTCTCACCCTTAGATTGAATACAAGTTATTACAACTCAGCAACAGCCACCTCTTGAATCAGCTACCCAAGAGTCGCGCTTAGTTAGTAGACTGATCGCGCGCGCTTGGCCTAATAACTTTGTACTGTGATCCCACCTACGATAGCCACTACCACTACCCTGGTCCCGTGGTTCTCGACAACTTACTGTAAAGTTGCAGCGTTTCTCTTTGCCGCCTAAGTGCTGAGAGTTGACCATTACACATGGACAGGTCGTCGGTTGCAGTACCAGCGTTCTGAGCGTATTAGCTACCGTTCTTTTACGGGTATATTGTGCCATCAGGTGCAGTCGACAGTTGCATTACAGAAGGTAAGCTGCCGGAAATGCATGGATAGAATCGACGGCCGCAGAAATTGCGTTGTATGCTATATGTCCAATGCTCATCATGCTGATTGTTCAATCATGTCGTACATTTCAAGAATTATGCGTCCGAAAATAGATGAGTGCGTAGACCTAGAATGAGGCCAGCTATGAAGCCTAGGGCTAGGAGGTACCGCGATCCTATTTATCCCTGCCTTTTCGACTGCAAAGAATACATGCCTCTGTCCAGAATCGAACTGGGATTGGCTTCTGGGTCGTGGCCGCCGTGGCTCGGGCTTCATGTTTCCCAGGTTAGGTTAGGTAGCTACTCCAGGTACGTATATATAGCTGGCCTTTTGCCCTTTTGCAATAGCCCTTCATGCCTCATGATTCACCCTTTGATTCGCCTTGGACCACGAAGCTACCTTGAGTGCAAGATCTTCCTCGTATTAGCTACCTTTCCGTCTTCCACCCTTCGATATGCCAGTATCGTCTTAGGCCATAAGCCATTTGATAGCTTAGTGCTAGATCCCACATACAACGACGTTGCTATCTCGCGTACACACTGAATAGATTTTGTAAGTACTTCACATTTTACCCTTTGGTCCTCTTGCTCTCTGCTCCATGTGCTCAGCTATTTTATAGTTGGCCACCATGTTGTAATAATAGCGGATTTAGTTTTGGTATTAGTAAAGGGTTCGATTCAGAGACTGGTTAGTACTTTTGTTACTTTGTTACTTGTGCTGAAAATAGCAAAGTGACATAGAAGCCTATGTCACTTTGTCATTTTGTTACTTTTTGTTACTTTGTCACTTTGTGCCATTTTCGGAACAAAGTGACAAAGGTTAGGTTGTACGCCAAGGTCTCCTTAGGAGCCCTTGCGCAGGGTTGGCCTCGCCACCCAGTTCTGACGTCTATATAAGACAGGTTATTTTGTAGTAAGTTTTGCCACAATGAATTATGAAACACGCTTTTCTTCCCTAACTCTCCAAGAAGCGCCTTCTTGATTGTACTAACTACAACTTCAGATAATACCTTTAGATTTGCTCATATCAGCTTTCTATATATTATCTAGTAAGTTAGCCGTTTACCTTATTAGACATCAATAATCGTGAAGCATAATCCTTTCTGACTGATCCCACTTCAGACCTTGTACTGTTTTTAGTTAGTATAATATCATCTCTTATACTATCTGAATCCAACGTTATGTGGCTCTTTACAGATCTTGGGTCCGCAACAGAGGTCAACTGCCTAGTCCACCACGAAGAAGATCCTGCGTCCCTCCTCCTTGCACGGCGGAAGCGATGAATTCTTTCATCTTCACACTACACTCTCAAGGCAATCTCTCCTTGCCGTCCCACCGAAGAGGCGTGTCTAGTACTCCGGTACCTTTCGGAAGACCATCAATCGGTTAAGCGCGGGCACGCTTTCTGGCAAATATCTGCGATGGAAAAGTGACTGCAGCAAATACAAAGGCACAATGTCAGTATCGTTGTATCGTGCAAAACCGACAACGCAAACATAAGTTGATGCCAGAGTTCCGATGAATAATTCAATTTCAATAAAATTATTCATGGTCATGCCAAAGGCTATATTCATATCCATATTCATATTCACGAAATTAGACTTTTATTCATATTTATTCAGATATGAATAATCTATTCATTTTTGGCTCGATAAAGTGAATAATTCGCCGTTATTTATTCATTCTTATGCACCAATCTGAAGATGTTGCTATTCATATTCGTATTCATATTCAAATCTGAATAAATAATCGCGTTTATTCACTATATTCATATTCATTCGGAACTCTGGTTGATGCACGAGGGAATGCATGTATGGCTGGTGTGGAACGCTTGCGATAATAAAAGTAAGGTAGCGAACAGAAGTGATGAACGGATTAAAGTGGCGAAGTAATAATGTCATGAACATGACAGGACAGCTTCGCTTTCATGTCCGCTGTAGCTGAAATGGACTTATACCTTTACTGTCCGTTTTGGATTATCAATCTTTCCCACGCTTGCGATCGAACCTCCACCGACGCGCCAACCCCGCTTTTGCCACCAAGGCACAATTCCAGAGGAAAGCAAACACCGAGACATGATCTGGGTGGTGGGCACCCACCAGCACCCACCAGCACCCACCGACACCCACCAGCACCCACTAGCGCATGCCGAGTCAAACCAAGTCATCGTCCCACTTTCGCCACTGGTTCGCCACCGATTCGCCACTGGATTCTCCCTAGGGCCCTTGTGAACTGTAGGACCGCCTAGTAGCCTGGATATCTATATAAGGAGAGCTTTCTGACTCCTTTTGCCACAGTTGTAATTATCTTTGCTCCTTAGAGCAAGATCATATGTCGAGACTTCGTATTACATAATCCTTAATACAAAGTCAAGTGGTTCAATCCCACATTCGTCATACATTCTAACCTTGCCTGTCTTTGAGACTGGTGTCTGACATCAAGTCCTCACCCATTCCTGACAAATAATCTGAGATACTGAACGGGTGAACGGCTGAAGTAGGTGCAGTGTGTGTGTGTAGTCTATGCCATGGAGTAGGCTCTAAGGCAGAAAGCAGGCGTAATCATGTGGACAGAAGTAACAGGTAACAGTGAGTATGTTATCTGGCTGTGTTCTATACTACATGTCTCTCTATGTCTGGTTCGCGAGCGATTTTCGCAAATTCTGCTTTTCTGAAGCCCAAGCCAGCTTACCGGCCTCCTAGGATTTTCCACGTATTCTGAGACTGGTCCGTCATTTGGTGAAGCCAATGGGCTTCGCAAGGGTCGTACGAAGCTGGTGGATGATAACTCAATAATATCTGGACCTTTACAACAACCCGAATTATAATTGAGCTGCGGGAATCCTGCAAGCCGTGAGGAAGTTGTGTGTTGGCTTCAGAGAACACTACAACTATAAGATCGGTTATAGGGAGTTGAGACGTTACCTGGTTGTTACACTTCGCATCTCATTGCCATCTCGTACGACTGCAGTTGTGATAGACGCAGTAGTGCAAGAGCTTCACCATTCGAGCAATACTTACACCTTCTGCTCATAGGATTTCACCTTCCTATCTTCGACTTCACCTCGACAAGTTCGACTGTCGGATCGGTAACGATTTTGCTACTCATTGTAAGAGTAGATAGTCGCAGTTAAGTAAAAATCCAATTCCCAGTTCCACCTTTGCTAGTTGACTCTCGAATTGCGGTATTTAGGACTATACGTGTCGATATCAGTATATCCTCTACTTGCGGATGCAGTGCCACAAATGTGCACAACTTGCACAAGTGGACAGTACATCTCTCTTTTAGGGATCCTGCCTTAGAACTGCGCCTTTGCTACAAAGTGCACACATGCGACTGTGTACTTGCACTGTGCGATTGCAATGTGCAATGCGCTGTGCCACCTAAGCGCGTCCTCAAGGAGCCCTTAGGAAAGAGCCATTTGCCTTGATGGCAAATGCATTATATACAGAAGCTTATCCAGTTGTGACAGTTTCGCCACTATGATTTGTTTGATCCACAAATGACCTCCCAACCTTAGATCCGAGCAACCGTCCTTGGCTATCATATTTCATATTAAGTGATCAAGGTAGAGCCGCTATCTATAGTTGCCGCGGGCCAGTAATCAGTGTTACGTAATACACGTACCACGGTACCGCCGGTGTAATTTGGATCCTAGCACAAGTTATCAAATGGCTTATTACGTAAGACTGGACTGCTATTTACCTAAGGTGAGAGACAAGGGTAGCTAATCCTTGAGAAGTCTTGCACTCAAGGTAGCTTCGGAATTAAGAGGTAATCAAAGGGTGATTCATAGAGCATGAGAGCTATTACAATAAGAGGCAAAGTGCCCAGCTATATATAGTTGTCCAAGCTGGGTAGACCCTCTCGGGAGACTGAGAACACGAAGTCTCCCAAGCGTAGCCGCGAAGCTGCAAAACTGCGAAGTTGCGAAGCTGCAAATCTGCGAAGTCGCGGGAGTGCGAATCTGCGCTGCTGCAAAGCTGCAGTTCTACATAATATTGAAATAGCAGTGATGGCAAAGTTGATGATGATGACTGATGTGATGGCATCAGAAGGAACGGCTGATGAAAACAAGTAGTTGGCACTAATGTTATTGATAGGCATTACTACAACTAAGCTATGGTTCTCTACAATAGTGATCTATCTCATTACATACAGTCGTTATAGGTATATTCTACGATATTATAGTCGCGAAAGCATAATACATTTGACTAAGACCACCAAAGATCTAGCTCTGTGGGGATAAGATAGATCATATTACATATTATACCATCTATATATATATACAACGTAGCTAGCACTCTTACGAGCGGCCTCAGTGCAACTCCAAACGGCAAGGTGGACAAAGTCATGTTCAAAACAGCAAAAAGTCTGCCTGTGCCGAGACTCGAACTCGGGTTGGCGGGTTTCTCAGAAACGAGTTTCTATGAATCCACAGTGATAACCATCTACACTACACGGGCGGCAGATACTTTTTGAAATCGCTTTTTGCATGAGACCTATCAAAAAAGCGGAAGCTGACGCCAAGCGATTCCGGTGAAGCATACAGTGCCTCCACCTTTGAGCAGCCCGTTACGTTTGGTGTTTCACCTTGTGCTTCTTCTTGAATCCAGTATTCACTGCTTATACTAGTTCTTTACTTCTACCGACATCCATCCTCCTTTGACCATACCGACCAGCCCACTTCACTAGATCAGCAATGTCACACAATGCCTCTCCGCTTTCTACGGCGTCTGATCACAAAGTTACTCCCTCCGTTCCTCCGGTACGTCCTCCTATTCTTCGTTCTCTCGTCCTCTAGGTGTGTGCAAGGCGTTGATGCATTTAGGTGATTGCAGGTGACGGAGGAAGGAAAGGTAAAGGTTGAAGCTAATCCTTCTTCCAATCCTGTTCCGTTGCCTCCTCGTTCTCCTGCTGCGTCTGACTCTCCCTCTGCCAACGACAATGTTCTGCGCTCGGACGACGAACCTACCGCCGAATTGGACTCCACTGACAACGACGACGATACCGACTCGGACGTGGACTCGGATTCCGATTCGGGCATCTACCGACCCAGTCCGTACTTTGATACCTCGTCACCTCCCAACACAGCGGCTGGACGAACAATCTCTTCACTGGACGATGTAGCGACCTTGCTCAAAACCGGTATGTCTTGCCATCCTCTAATGTTTGCCTCAGCTTACAGCTCACTTTGGATCGACTAACGGAATAGCGAAGAATGTGATTGTGCTCGTTGGTGCTGGGTGTAGTGTTTCTGCCGGTATTCCAGACTTTAGATCTCCTGAAACGGGGTACGTTGTTGGACCCTTTCCTCTTCTTCGATGGCATCCCCTTCTCCTCTCCTCCTTGACTGATCTTCTGCCTATCCTCTCTTTCCCTGTTGTTGATTGATTCGACTGGCATTTCCTTACTCATCGCCGTCCATGCCTTTACTGGCGCAGACTCTACGCAAACCTTGCCCGGTTCAACCTTCCAGCACCTGAAGCAATCTTCGATTTATCATTCTTCAAGACAAAACCTGAACCGTTTTTCATGCTTTGCAAGGATCTTTATCCCGGTACGTCCCGCTTGCGCCTTCGATGCGCAAGCCAGGTCTTTGCTATCTAATAAAGCCGTCGGTGGTTTACTATTCTTGCTTTGTGGGCTGGTACGGTTGACGCTATATAGGTAAACACCTCGTACGTCTATATTCCGATTTCCGACACAGGGACTTGTTTGTAACCTGTGTTTCACTCCATCTAGCCAACACCTGCTCATTACTTTTTCCGACTACTTCACGAACATGGAGTTCTAAAACGGGTATTCACGCAGAACAGTACGTCCCGCCTCTCCCAATCCCACGCTTATACAACATGACGTACCAACGCATTCGGTGATCCTCTTAACGAATAGTCGATACGCTGGAGACAACTGCAGGGCTACCCCGCTCTGCGATCGTAGAAGCACACGGATCATTTGCGAAATCACACTGCATTCGATGTCATCGGGAGACGTCGCACGAGGAGATGGTGGAGCGTGTTCGGAAGGGGGAAGTGGTGAGGTGCAAGGAATGTGGGGGACTTGTCAAAGTACGTTTGATTTGGTCTTAATAGTGTTGGGCTGAGGATGCTGATGCTTGTATCGGGGAACGGTGTAGCCGGATATCGTCTTCTTTGGTGAAGGACTTCCGACCGAGTTTTTCCAGAGTATGAGAACGGTTAGTCCATGTCGCTCCGTCCTGCGCCTTACTTCACTAAAGTCTTTCCCTTACTCCTGTATCGACCCTTCCCTTTCCGCCGCCGCAAATCCCTGACGCTCACTCGCTCAGGACCTACCACAATGCGATCTACTACTAGTAATCGGTACATCACTTCAAGTCCACCCGTTCGCCTCCTTGATCAATTACGTACCCCGCTCGTGCCCACGGATACTGATAAACAAGGAGAAAGTCGGTGAAGCGAGGGGAAGGTGGGATGATGGTGGGTTCCGGTTCGATGAAGGGACGAGGGACTTCTTTTGGGGAGGAGAGGCGGATGTTGGTGTGCGACATTTGGCGGAGAAATTAGGGTGGAAGGTTCGTCGTCTCAGGTATGCCACGTAAAAGCAGTATTCTGACTGGATTATTTTGCCCCTTGTTCCTTTTTGGTACCCGCACATCGTACAGAACGAGCTAGACGACCTTGTCCGCCAGCACCGCGCAGAATTGAAGAAGGAATGGGGTATCGCAACAGGCGACAGCGAGATTGATGGGGAAGACACTTCAGCAGCCTCGTCCGCCTCACCGGCAGCTAAAGGTGGAAGAGACGGTGTCCGTACCAGTGCCGGTGATGAAGACCGCATAGAAGAGGTGTTGGCGAATTTGGCGGAAGATCTGAAGAAGGTGGGACTCGAGGAAGAGGGAAAGTCCGAGCTGTAGTATTTCACGCATGGGATGAAGATAGTATGTGGGAAACAACCGCGACTTACGAAAGATGACATTTGTATTTGGCTATAAACTTAGACTACGGCTTAAAATGGGGTCCTCAGCTAGGAGAACGCCGTCAGCATTTCGCGACTGTCAGAGTCAAGGTCCTGTAAGCACAACAATGAGAAGCAGCTCCTTCTGGATCATACAAAGTCACAGATCGATAAAGCCATCTTCGGGTCACCCCTCTAGCTTCTTTTCTTCCTCTAGCTTCTTCTCTTCTTGCCGATACAGGCTACATGTGAGCGGTACGACTGCAGGACCGCCGACTCCACTGAATGTGACGGGCCCCTTGGTATTGCTGAGAAGCGTTTAACAATAGGGCGCCTTCTAGCAGAACAAAGGAGATGAGAAGGATATCAAGAGGTGCTAGGCATGTATATAGATAAGGGGATGGAGGAGGTACGCAGCTATATTGCTCAGGCATCAATCGTCTGAGAAGTCACTCCCATCGTCATCGACTTCAGGAATCACTCATTCGTTTACGAGGTTTGCTAGTCGGTCTACATTCATCGCCGCATTTTAACAGCTCAGTATGACTACTATGACGAGCATAATTCTCGAAGCTAGAGCTCGGAGTTTTGTGGCTCTGAAGAGAGCTCTCGGTACGCTCGAGAACATGTGCCGGAACAGAACGGTTTACGATCATTCGGTCTTTACTCGCTTGTCGGAAGTGTACCAATGTGAAGGAAATCCTTATGCTGCGACCGCGAACGAGCTGAAGCTCTGCAAGGAACAGCTGGAGCAGTTGGAGGACTTCTTGAAGTCCGAGAATATTTCTGGAACAGCCACAGCAATCAGGCTTTTCTACGAAATAGGGCATACCCTAGATAAATTTCTAGACCCTGAGGAGATAGATGGCGTTGGGATGTTAGACTTGATGGTCCTGGAGTCGCAGCCGGATCCGGGTCACATTTTCGCTGCTCGCGCGTTTGTGGAACACTTGGTTGACACTAAGGTAGCTTGGCTCAGATGCAGAGTGCTGTTTGACCGCGACGGTACTGTAGAAAAACCACTATTGCAAGACCTGAGGGAGGTATCGACACTCGTCGGGGCCTCAGAACAGAATGTCCGGGATGAAGGGAGCGACGGCGCAAGCTTGCAAAGAAGCTTTAGCCATGGTTCAAACAGCAGTTGCAGAGCTTCAAGAGACCAAAAGGCATCCGCCTTGATAACACTCTTGAAAAATGAAATGAAAAGATTGCAGAAACAGGTAGAAGCGGAGCATGGACATTTGATCAAGGAAGGGAACCAGACGCTGCAGTCCCTCGATGAGAAATTCACTCAACGATATCAGAGAACCTACAGATCTGGCCTCCTGGACGATCTTCTCTCCGTGGGAACAGACTACCTCCTGCTGGAACTGATGGGAACATTGAAGAGCTTGACATCGCAATACGACAGTGCGGAGTCGCTCACCGCCCGGGCATCATTCACCCAAGTGTTGTCGTACATCGGAGAAATGCAACTGGATGGAGAGATGCGATTGGAAGAGACCATGGATCGAGCCGCTAGCACATTGCCTTCTCGACTTGGTCGCGATGGCAATCCCTTTAGCAGAAGGTAGTCTACGTGTTCTGATCAACCACTTTGACTGCCCAAGGGTACAATTGTAATTCTATCTCGATCCGCTCGAGCTATATATTAGTTACATAGACTACTGGAGGTCAGGGTCGTTCATGTCATAACAAACGCTCCGACTTCTTCCCAGTGCTTGCATACTGGGCCAAACGATAATGGGGTAATGGAACAGGCCACACCGCCCATCCTGCATGCTTACGATGCGACAGTCCTTCGATCTTGGAGACTTACGGATCGGATACTTTCTATGTTGAATGTTCATATATGGTGTCATATTTGTCTACTTGGCTTACTTGTCTGCGTGTATTATACTTTCTACTCTTGTACAATCGAATCTTCAATGATCTAGTTGGTCGCGGCGATTTTCTACACGACGGCGTTGATCAGGCCACGCTCGTCCATCGGTCCGGCGATATCGACGATACGCACAGCTTTACAACTCCTTCTTCCCGGCCCGATCCTGCATCCCAGCAACTGGCGAAATGGAAACATCCTGTTCCTGCGCCTGGGTAGGTGTCTTGCCGCCGGTGGAAGATTTGTTTTCAATGTCGGACGCCCATAGAGCTGCACCGACGCTGCTTGTCACTGTCGGTTGTGAAGAGAATCAGTCAGGTGTTTCGGTAGGAGGGATCGGTATCGTGAATGGAAAGGAGAAACGTACGGGTAAAGAACACGGAAACAACAGGAATCAAGTTCAAAGCCATCGCGACCGTTCCGAACGCGGTGTACGCTCCACGTCGCTTGTGGATTACTTCACGCTTCTTTTGCGCATCCCAGCCTTTCAACTGGAAGTATCGTGCGTGGTAAGATGGACCGGATTTCATACCGTTGTAGCCTGCGAATATGGAGAAGTGCGTCAGCGGTCGGTCAGGAGGAGGAAGAACGGAAGAGCACGGTAGGCGGGTGAAAGGTGCAGGACGAAGGCGTACCGAGGAAGAA